CAAGAATTATATACAGATTCAAGTGAAAAAAATTGGGTGGAATTTATAGTTTATAAGATGTGGGCGAATGTAAATTATGTTACAGGAAAAACTCTATATTATTATTTGTATTATGATAGTAATTGTTGTTTGCGTTAATTTATGATAAAAATTCATTTCATAGAAGACATTATATATTTTATTTGTACTAATTATAGCCTGCGTTGATTTATGAAAAGAATTACTTAGAAACAAGACAATTTTCTTAAAAATACGTAAAGAATAAATTATCGCAGGTATTATTATCGTTTTTAAAATATTTGCTTGGTAGACTTTAAAACTCGCCCCAAATACGGGGTAAGTTTTTTTAGACAATTAATTAGGTACTACTAATTCACTGAAGATTAGAATAATTGTCCACGCACTTTATCATAAAACATTATTATTTACATGTAAATAATGATAAGAAAAATATTATTTACATGTAGTTTTTTTTTAATATAAAAATAAAAACATAACTGAAAATGTAAAAAAATATAATGCAATTAAATAAACATCAATCGCCAGACTATAAATCAAAGCGTTTTTGAAGCAAAGTACACTAATTAATATATGACATAGTGTTTAATAAGCACGTCAATCGCCTGTTAGATAACTAGACTTCAAAACATATTAAAATAACTCAATTAGTAGCAGGAAAATCTATTTAAGTGATCTATTTATTCATGATCGAGTAGTTTATATGTTTTCGTCGCTTTTAATTTGAAGCAAAAACACGTGGTAGATTTCTTAAAATACTTTTAAGGAAACTTTTAAAGTTACAAAATTTATTTTGTCATATATTGAAGCATTGTAACTGATTCATTCAATATTCATATATTGAAGCATCGTTGTAACTGATCACTTCCTTGTTTCAATAGAAAGGTTAATTTTAGGAATTATTTTTTCAAAATAAATATTATATGTTTATAAAAAACATTCAAAAATATGCTAATTAATATTTACAAAAAACCTGAAAATAATTAACTTGAAAAGACTTCAACGTTTGATCTATATTAGATAAATATTAAATATTAATTAATTAAATATTTATTAATTTATAGTTAAGTTTTTTGATATTTCTATATTTGTATGTTTTGAAAGACTGTTATTCAGTTAATTAGTTTTTTATTTTGCAGAAAAGTTCATAGAACAGAAAATAGTAAGTTAAATTATTTCGGTACTATTTTAATGTAGCGTAATTAATGGTCGTTTTATTATTTACGAGAGAATGTGCCACATCATCCGATAGAGGTTAAGGATATATTTCAGTTTATTCCTATGTTTACATGCCAATTTTATTAGCAGCTGTTAAATTCAAATGCTTTTTCAAATACCATTATTGGACGACGGCGATAAATTTAGCATGAAAAACATAATGTGAAAATGACAGACGTAAGCTAGTATGTATAATGAAAATAATAAATAAATATACAATTGAAATTCCTAACTAGTGGTGCATGGCATCGTGCCTTAAGGCAATTTTCAAAATAGCTTTAAAATTTTCTGAAAACTTTAAAAAATTTGATTTTTGAGAATTTTGAAAAATGACTTTTTTATAAATTTGAAATATTTTTTTCAAATTTTAAGCTTTTTTCAAAGCAATAAAGCTGCGTTAGGTGCGTATAGAGCGAATATTGAAGCACGTAAGCGCCTCAATAAGAAATTCTAAAAATCTCTATAAAATATTTAATAACTTGATGAGCATTTTTGTCCACCAAATGGCAAACGTTTTTCATTGGATATCCAAAACCGATAGACGTGCCTTTTCAAAACTTTGATCAGTTCTTCGTTTCGCTAATAAAAATAAAATGTTTTTTGAATCATTCAAATCGGACGCTCCGTTTATTTCAAAAACTAAATTATCATTTTTAGCACTTTTTATCTCGTATCTTCAATAAAAAAGTACGTCTCCTCATCAATACGAATTGATTGTTTTTTTGAATTATTCAAAACGGTTTATTTGTGTTCACGAAATCGTCGACGATAATTTGTATTTGATCAGAAACCTTCCAAAAAATGGTTTATCTGTGTTCCAGATTTTGGGAAAAATAACCAATTGGAGTAATTCGATTTGTGTTGATTAGTTTTTGGCAAAGGCAAATTCAGCCGTTTCGAAGCATAAATTTTCAAGAAAAGGTAATTAAATTTTTGAGATAACCGAGAGTCCGATTTGAATGATTCAAAAACATTTTTTTTGCATTGACAAAGTGAACCACTCATTAAACTTTTTGGAAGGCAGGTGCAGCGGTGTTAGAGAGTCAATAAAATAAGTAAAAAAATGCCATTTGGCGGCCAAAAATGATCATTAAACATATGCACATCAAATTATCAGGTGTTTTATAGATATTTTAATAAAGTATACACATTTTGTGTCATTTTTTTGGGTTCTGTATCAAGATTTTCAATTTTGAAGTTTATTTATATGGCCCGAAAAAATGTCCTCGACATTTTCGACAGTATGGAATAAACGATTTGTATGATTGAAAAAACATTCAGTTTGTACTCGATCGCGAGGCGTTTTTGCAAAAGGCACATCCTGCCGTTTCGGAGGTAAGTAGCGCAAAGGGTGTAAAAATGGTCATGCAGTTTTTGAGAGAACGGATCTTTCGATTAGATTAACTCAAAAAACCTTTTGCTTGTGTAGACGGCGTGCAAAAAATGGTTTTACAAAAATTTCAAATTTTCTAAATTTTTCATAAAAAAATCTAATATTCAAATAATTATAAAAAATATCAAAATTTTAAAAAAAAAATTTCTTACAAAAATTTTCCAAAAAATTGGATATTTTCAAAAAGTTTTGTTTTCAAAAATTCAGAAAAACATTTCAAAATTATCAAAAAAATCAAATTAAAGAAACTATTTCTTGTGAACATACACATAAGTTGTTAGTAGAATACGCTCGTCGCCCAATATAAAAGCTCTTATAAATTTACAGTATGTATTTATGATAAATAATCTATTTGAAATTATTTAAAACAATTATTGTTTATTTTCATTTTTCGAATGTTTAATTACGATACGGGTAATCGTGTATAAAATTAAGTTTTGTTTACATATTTATAAATATTATGAAAAATAATATAATACACAATCCTTCGCAGCCCAACGCTGACCATGTGATAAATATGCAGCTGTAACATAGTTGCGAATAAAACCATTATTTCCGCTGCAAGGTTTAATATAACAGTTGATATGAAAAAGAAAGCTCGCGTAACGCGTTGCAAAGAAGATTAATTTTGCAAAAACAAACGCGGCATATACATTAATTTCGTTCCGTTTATTTCTGTAAAATAAACAGCGGCACTCTTACGAACGTTTATGTGCTTGTAAACAATGTGTAGTCTGGCATTAATTTAAATACGATAACATACGCGATTAAAAGCTAATGACGAGCAAAACGCCAGATTAAATATATTCGTTATATCTGATATTAATTGGTGCTTCAAGGGTAAACCAGGCGATTTATGGTGTCAGCGATGACTGCCACACAGATTTCATCCTTCTGCAAAAACATTACGACGAAATTCATTCGGAATGTTTAAATTTAGTAACATACTCGTATAACGATAGGAACAACGCGTGTGCGTCGAGATCACTTCAAAGAACGAGTTATGAAATAAAGTAAAATATCATTACGTTCTATTTCTGATTTTATTGCATATACAATATTTAGGCGAGATTTTGTTTGCTCAAGTAGCAGAATAGTTTAATAAATACTCTCGTTAGAAAATAAATACATAAATCATCTTAAGCGGGATGTTTAAGTCGTATTTCTTTAAATGTTTAGAAAATATGAGGGTTTGTTATATGCTGTCATAGATAAAACATGCTATGTATAAGTAGATGTAAATTAGGCATTTTGATGAAATTTTATATTTGCAATAAATCAAAATTACCATAGATAAAGTGATTTATATTCGAAAAAAAACAATGCAATTTTTTCATCATTACGTTGTAAGCACTTACGTGTATGTGTACAGAGTATCAGAGACCTTGACGTTACGGGGTGACTATTAATGTCCTGGAAAAAAAGAAAAAAATATTATTACACGTGTTTAGTAATTACGAGCTTTTAAGTGCAACCTAGAACTTTGAGTGAAATTATGAGCATTTTTCACGGTTATTGTGGTTACTTTTTACTAACTTTGCAACCATAACCGTGAATATCATTTCTAGCGCCTCAGTAAAAAATAATAACACAATTGTTTAAAGTTTCTAGAATTAAGACTTTTTATTGAACTATGAATTTAATTATTTAAAAATCAGTCGACTTTGAGAGGCCCTCCTTTAAAAAAAAATACTAAAGTGCGTTTGCAAATTTCATCGAAAGTATGCGCATTTAATTAAAATTGTAAAATGATAATATACCTTATAATTTTATTATAAAAAAATTTTGAGTAAAAATTCAGTAAAAACATAAAAATGGCATGTTTTTTGCTAGTACAATTTACTCACAATTAGTTCTAATGCTTGCCGCACGTGCACGTGCGAGTGAGAAATATTATATATATATAATATATATAGATATATATATATATATGAAATATAGACAAAATAAAACAGTGGCCTTATTTAAAAATTTGCTGATTTTAGTAGCGTTTCCGCGACTGTATAACATGAAGAAAGCCATAATGACCATCCAGTCAGATGTTGAGCGTCATTGTCACAGTCTTGCTACAGTAACTAGTTGAAACGTGTATCTAGCCTTCAAAAGTTTATTTTGAGTGTGGTTTTGAGACTTATTTATTATTAGTTGTAATTAATTCTAATAAAATGAATATACTTACTTACGGGAGTTAAAAAAAAAATTATTTTCAGAAAAATATTCTGATCGTTATGATTCATAAATATTTTCCTGGAGGCAAATAGTGCCACATATTTGACTTGTAGAGTGCTTTGAAAATCAGAATTATAGTAATATATTGAAATAATATTTAGTATATATTATTATATAAAAAAACTAATTTATTTATTCTTAGTCAGCGGGAGATTGGAATTTCGCGCCCGGCGCATTGCTTTGGCTGATGACGCAATGTTCGTCGTGAAGACGAGAGCCAGGCGATATTCGATTTCCAAAGTAAAGTGCCTCAGTCGTGCAAAAGTGTGCAAACGACCAATATGACGTCCAGGGGCATCAGGCGGAAAAAATCTACACTGACCGAAGTCAGAATGGCCGTCATAGGCGCCCCGTCAGTTGGGAAGACGGGTAAGTGACCAGTTACACGAATTATTATTATTTTAAAGTCACGAATAAAATAGATATCGATATATAATAGTAATTTATACTTAAATTTGGAAAAGATAACCCCAAATTTTATATAAATTCCTTAGTTTTCCACGTAGCAACCAACAAAAATGCTTTTCAAAAATAATTTGAAATTAAACAACGCAAAAAAGCACAGCTGCATACATCGCAAATTAATTTTTGCCAACCTTAAAAAAATCTTTTATTATTAAAAATAGCAAAGAAGATTTAACTAAAGTAGCAACTCCGGTATTGATTAAGCAAATGATTTTATTTTTATCAATTGACTGTTAGATTTTGTACTGCAACCAATATCTATCAGAGCATGTACCTAAGCAAAATTATTATGAACTGAAAACAATAGTTAGTAAAATTTATAATTATAACTCGTGTACCTGAAAGATACAGTGGATCGACTCAATTTGTTTCTATGTTGGTTGGACACTTGTCTCCAATATAGAGTTTAAGTACTTATTGTTACCATGCGTCTTTCTATACAATGAGAAAATATACAGTAAACCCTCGCTTTACGCGGCAAGTACGTACCGTGCAGTATGGGGACCGTGCTATAAAAAAATTTAACATACTATTCAGGCTAATTCTTAGTGCATTCTATGGAACCTTACATAGTGCAGTATGGGAACCGTGATATGAGAACCTCAGAGTTGGTACAAATTTTTACCATTTTTATCGTGCTGTATGGAGATCAAGAAATACAACTTGAAGTGAGAGTAATACGAACGAAATGACATGTATGACATTGACACCTTATTCAAAAATTTGCGCGACGCATTATTCAGCTCAAACGTGTTCTTAGGCTGCTATTGTATAATCAGGCATGTCTAAAAGATTAAAAGTGATGAAAGATTACATTAATACCTTCTTGATATCAAGTTCCTATAATCACTCACAGGTTGCGCAAGGAACTTATGGGCTGTTGAACAAAAACCATATAATAGAAAGTCCGTGTAGTCGGAGGGATATCAGATTTTTAGCTCCGCGTAGTATGGGAACCGTGTACCCAGAGTGCCATGTAAACCGAGGGTTGACTGTACATTATATGATTTGACTATTTGACCTTTGTTTCGATACCATAAGTATTTACCCATGGTTTATCTCCATCTCACCCTACCCACAGTTTATCCCAATATTTATCTGCGTATTGGGTAAAAAAATATTACAAATTTTAGAAAAAGAAAAAAAAACATTTGCCAAAAAACATATTGATATGTATATTAAATTTTGAAGAAATATGCAATTTATAGCTTGATTAAGTTTGACTTTTTGGATAATGCTACCTAAATCTTGAGATATATGGCATCTTCTCACATTCATTGATTTGTTTTGACAATCTTGCGAGACATATACATTATATGATTGACGAAGAAACCTTCATAGATATTGCTTTTATTCTCGTTCTCTTCTGTCTTTAGTTACACTTAAATTTAACTTTTTACCCATTTTTATATTCGTCAATAGAGCAATATCTGAACTTTTTGTGCAAGTTTAGAGAGAGGTAGAATTTATTCAATGCATTGTGTCATATCATTGCAATATGACTTGAGCCCAGTGCACACAACGCCTGATTATCATCATACCTGTCACACCTAAATATGGTTTGCTGATCACGTGCAGCAACCAAGATCGATTCCAAAGTAGTTTACGCGACGCCTTTCTTTTTCCCTTTTTTTTCAAAATTATTTAAGTAGTGGCTATCACTAAAGTTTTTTCAATATATTGGTTATGAGGCAATGGAGGTTATAGCGCATGTAATAATCAAGACAGATATAAATGTGACAGTATAAAATTCAGGCGCAAAAGTCTTGCAAGAAATCTTTACTGCAATATGTTACAAGAAATACTGGCATCGGTGTGAACGGGCGTTACTTTGTTTTGTCAAACTTGAATTAGTAATTAGTAATGGGTAATTGAGTGGATCTCATATGCAGATAAATACGGTGATAAACCATGGGTAAAATTATGGCGTTAAAACAAAAGTCAAATATTTAAATCACCTATATATGATATATTGCTTTAGTCTTATCTGACGCCAATGGTGACTTGATTGCCACAAATTCCCCGTTAAAAGTCTTCGATTCGGCCAACCCCTTCCCTTGGTTTCAATGAAAATGTGCGAAAACCTGTCCGAGAATATTTCAAAGAGTTTCCCAATTTTTTATGGCGATCGGATTTTTGGTTTATGACTGCATAACAGTTACACACAGCATACATATATATATATATATATATATATATATATATATATATATATATATAAATGGAGTCTTGGATTTGTGTATATTTTGTAGAGTTTCGAACAAGAATTCAAAAAGTAATAAAAAACAAAAAAAAGTTTTTTAAATAAACTATTTCTTTATTTATTTATTCATTTAGTGTCGACGTTTCGGAACTAGGTACGTTCCATTTTCAGGACATCTTGTAGTTTGTTTGGTTTTCGAAGTATAATTACTGTAAGTCAAATTGGATCTTGATTCGCCGCCTCACCCTATAGATAATTTAATATTAATTTTAATATTATTATCAGTTTTAACCAATTTTATAATCAGAAGTAATTTTAACTGAACACTTTCTCCATTCTCGTACAAGCTGATAATTATTTTGTATTTTTAGCATTGACAGTACGGTTTCTTACGAAACGCTATATTGGCGAATACGATCATCAATCAGGTAATTATGTCAACATGATTTTATTTAAATAAAATTATAATATAATGCAAAAACAATTTTAATTTTGCAGAAAACAGGTACAGGCATGAAACTCTAGTCGAAGGAGAACCAATGTTATTCGAAATTCTAGACACTTGCCCTAAGGTAAGAGCATCCAGAGTAAAACAATAAAAGAATTCTTTTATGTTCGAACCGCAAAGTAAACTATCGATACATTATAAGAATAAAGACTCGAGATTGCCTTCAATAAAATGTTATAAAAGTCGAACTCGTAGCCCGATAACGCGATTATTGTCACATAGATAAACGGAAATATTGTTAAAATACACTATATTTCTAGACAATTGTCGTCGATAATGTCTTTCGTATCGATGTAGCCCGCGGCCACAATTTTATTTTATTACGGCCATTCGCTTTATCATTCGGCACACTTGAGTTCGTTTGTAAAATAAATACATTTAAACAAGCACCATCGCGCAGTCCGAGCGACCTAATCGCATAGAGTGCGCTGGAAAGAGCCGAGGAAATCGAATAAGGTGTCTAGGAGGAAAAGACATAAAATCATTTCTGCGTCCTTTTGATATTCTATCTCGTATTTTGCTACAGACGGAGAAATAGAATATCGCGAAACGAACATGAGATGTTCGCTTCGAAGAATGGTGAGGCTATTCTCGTTTGTATCTAACAATAAGCAAACTCAACTCTTACTACTCTCAAGATACTAGCAAATACAAACAATTTTCCTGCTAAAATAAATTCGACAACCAAATCTTTCGACCCTCTTAAATGAAGCATTGTTGAAATGAAATATCGCGATTCGAATACAAAAAGTTACCAAATAAGAACGTTTGTAATTGCAAGTAAATGTATAGATTTTTTTACATTTAACCCTTTCGGTATGCGCGGTACATATGTGTACCACAAAGTTTGAAAATTTCTTCACAGTTGAATTCATATATGAAAGCAATGCAATTTATACCACGACATAATGTAAGTGTTCAGCTTTGAGATAAAATACATAGGACCCGTAAAACAGCATTTAGTTTAGAACCAATCGCGTTTTGTTTTTTATCCGCCCAGACCACGTTGCAAAAATCGGACTATTTTCAATAATATAACTAGTGGGGCGCATGGCCTTAAAGCAAATTGCTGAAACTTCCCGTACCAAATTTTTTTTCAAAGATTAACATTTTTGAAAAAAATTACTCTGAAAAATTAGATTTTTGAGAAACTATAAATTTTTGACAAAAATTTACTTTTTTTCGAAAAAAAAAAAACTCTTTGAAGAAAAGTGTATTTTGAAATATTTTGGAAATTCTGAACTTTTTTTCAAAGCAATCGTACTGCTTTAACTGCATAGAGACGAAATATTGAAGCGCGTAAGCGCCGCGCCGCCCTCTAACGGATAAGCATTAGTACGGAACCCATAGGAATGTAAACAAAATCTATACTTATTGTTAAAATGGCTATAAAATATCTGATAATTTGATGTGCATATGTCTAATGATCATTTTTGACCGCCAGATGGCATTTTTTTTATTTTTTCACTAGATCTCCGAAACCACTGCCTTCGTGAAAATTTTATCAATTCTTCATCTTGTTAATACAAGTAAAATGTTTTTTGAATTTTTCAAATCGGACGCTCCGTTCTCTTAAAAACTGAGTTACCGCTTTTGGCACTTTGCCCCATATCTTCGGAACGGCTAGACCTGCCTTTGCTAAAAACTAATCAGCACATTTCCTTATCAATACGAATCTAATGTTTTTTAAATTATTCAAATCGCTCCATCCGTGTTCCCAAAATCGTCGACGAAAATTTGTATCCGCACACACATCCATTTTTTCTAAGATATGCCAAAATATTCAGAAACCTCTGAAACGTAAAGATATATGAAAAATTTCATTTTCGATTTTTTTGCGATTACTATAACTTACCCTACGGAAAGTTAAAAACTTCTTGCGATTTTCGGTGATTGTGAGTGATTACAATCGACAAGAAATCGAGATAAAGTAGGCAAATATAACTATGTTTCAAGCATTTTGTATTTATTACCAAATTAGATTAGTGGTACACATATGTACCACTAGTCTTATAAGATCTCAAATAAGAGGCAGTTAAAAAAATAAATATGTGTTTTTTCTCTTTGACTTGTTATTTATATTATAAATAGCGAGATACAAAAGAAATATTCATAATCTGTAACTATCGCAAAGCAAATGTGTACCAACAAAACGTACGGATGGTACAACAGTTTACGAGCCTCCACAACTGCCCCCCGATCATTTAAAATTATTTTTTTATGATTTTTACCTCAACATTTACCACACATTAAAATAATTACATTCCATTACCGTTTCGAACGGGTTAAACCTAAACATCAGTTAGACTTTTCATCGACGTTTTCTCAAAAACGGGTGAACCGATTTAAAAATTTAAAAACCATTTGTTGTAACTCGATAAGGCCTCGTGTTGATTACTTTTTCACAATCATCGGTAAAGCCGTTTCTTTATAAATTTTGCAGAAAAGTAATTTTTTTTCCACATTTTATCCCACAATCTTCCGATTTTAAACTTTCAAAAACCAATTGAAAGATATTGGTTGAGAATTAATTTTTGATTAAGATCGGCCAGGCCGTTTCTTCATAATCAACTGTCAAAATACCTTTTGACGAATTTGATGAATCTTTTTATATTGATATGAAGGATGTCCCAGACTTTGACGTCAAGTCGAGACAAGATGATTGTATAGACCTTAACTGTCCTGAAAAAAAATTGAGTTTGGATATTATGAGCAGTTAAGTGCAACTTTGATAAAGTTACGATTATTTTCTGGTTATAGTAGTTAACTTTTATTAATTTTTTTCATTTAAACTTTAGAACCGTAACCGCGAATAACATTTCTGGGGCCAAAATCATTAATACAATTGCCCAAGTTTTTGAAAATTGGAACTTTTTGTTGAACTATGTATTTAAAATTTTTAATATTGGTTGACTTTGAGCGTGTTGGCTAGTTTCATCAAAAGTTCGGATATTTATTCAAGATTTTTATTATTGAAAATTTTCGAGTAAAGAAATAAAAACCGAAAAATGACATGGTTTATGCTAGTGCATTTTAGTCCCATTTAGTTCAAATATTTTTCGCTTCCGCGAGCTCTTATGTGGGATCGAAATGCACTTGCAAAAACCATGCCATTTTTCGATTTTTATTTTTTAGCAAAAAAGTGCCTTTTTGTAACAGTTTTTGCAGGAATGCTGCTCTCTTAAATTTATAGATTTGTGTAGTGCTCCCAGAAATCAATTAATTAATTATCTAATTGGATTCTTAACATGTGCCACCTAACGAGTACAGTCTGCAAAACGTCTCTAGTTGTGTAAAAAAAATTACCATTAATTTAAATTATTAAATAATATCAAGCACTACGTAGATGATACGTAATCGTACCAGTATTTTCTTAAAGCAGATGTTTAATATTTCACAAAATAATATTTATTAATAATATTATTAAACGGACTGATTCTGCCGCATAACAGACCATTAATTTAAATGATTAAATAATATCAAGCACTACGTACATGATACGTAATCGTACCAGTATTTTCTTAAAGCAGATGTTTAATATTTCACAAAATAATATTTATTAATAATATTATTAAACGGACTGATTCTGCCGCATAACAGACCATTAATTTAAATGATTAAATAATATCAAGCACTACGTACATGATACGTAATCGTACCAGTATTTTCTTAAAGCAGATGTTTAATATTTCACAAAATAATATTTATTAATAATATTATTAAACGGACTGATTCTGCCGCATAACAGACCATTAATTTAAATGATTAAATAATATCAAGCACTACGTACATGATACGTAATCGTACCAGTATTTTCTTAAAGCAGATGTTTAATATTTCACAAAATAATATTTATTAATAATATTATTAAACGGACTGATTCTGCCGCATAACAGACCATTAATTTAAATGATTAAATAAATAATATCAAGGACTACGTACATGATACGTAATCGTACCAGTATTTTCTTAAAGCAGATATTTAATATTTCATAAAATAATATTTATTGATAATATTATTAAATGGACTGATTCTGCCGCATAACAGACCATTAATTTGAATGATTAAATAAATAATATCAAGGACTACGTACATGATACGTAATCGTACCAGTATTTTCTTAAAGCAGATGTTTAATATTTCACAAAATAAAATTTATTAATAATATTATTAAATGGACTGATTCTGCTGCATAACAGACCATTAATTTAAATGATTAAATAATATCAAGCACTACGTACATGATACGTAATCGTACCAGTATTTTCTTAAAGCAGATGTTTAATATTTCACAAAATAATATTTATTAATAATATTATTAAATGGACTGATTCTGCCGCATAACAGACCAATGTTATGGCATGTTATCCGCCGGATGTTTTTCTGTGGCCCGCGAAGCAATTCTCAACAACAGATTATTTTTCTAGATATTTTATCAAATACGATTGTATTAATTAATTAATAATTTTGTTATCAAATACTGGTAAAAACTTTTGTTCGCAGAAATAGCATTTTCTGATAAAATAAATATTAATCTAAATATTATTTTAACAAGCTTCAATATTGCAAGAAAAGTTGGGAACTTGTCCGAGAACATAGCAACAACGCATTTTTAAATTTAAAATGATTAAACAGGTAAATCTTATAAAGTCGCGAGGGTTAAATCATCGTGAATTTAAAGACTTTTGGCAATTTAAAGCGTGTATATGGCGTTGTGCTTTTCAATACTAAAGTACGTTAGCTCAATAGTGATGCAATGCTAGGAGTATACAACTCAAATGGCGAACTACAATTGATTTTGGATATGAAAGAACAATTGCAGTACTTTCATTATTCTAGCATTAAAGAATAATATCTTTTGCAGAATCTCGTGTTTTGCATTTCATATTTAGAAAAAGGAAATGTGAAAAAATTTTAATCATGATTCCAAATGTTCAAAGCCAACAAGACAACTGTTTTCATGTAAAATAATACAGAATGCAAAATCGTACAGACTTAAAAAATGTATTTTTTTCAGTAAACATCAAAATTTTCCATAAATCTTATGTCAACCCTGAAAAATTTCTGCTTTTGAAAAAAAAACGCAAATCAAATTATGATAATTTCTTTTTTTAGAAGTACGTATGTGTGCGACACTTACATAAGTCCACAAAAGAAAAGTCGCTGGTTAATAACTAATTCATTTAGAAAAAATTCTTAGTTGAAGATAGTGCCGGTTTTTAAATGTTGTTTCATATTCTGTGTTCCAATTTTGACTATAGATTTATCTGCAGCGGTAAATGGTACATTGGAAAACATATGTCACACATGCAATCCAGGCAACTTTTTTTGTGGACCTTTATAAATTTCAGCTATGAAATTTATAAAAAATTATCACCTATCAAAACTGAGTAATTAATATCAAAGCTGCATACGCGTTGCTACTTTCCGCATTAAAAAATTAAAATAAAAAACAAAATTAAAAAAACGAATAATATTGAGCAGCTTATATAAAAAAGCATTGCCAAAATTCTTATTAACGTTTTCAAGTAAATTACTTTTTCCGTTTAACTATTTTTTTGTTTTTAATTTGTATTTATATTCATAAATACTTATAGAATACACTCGTAATTATATAAAATATATACTTTTTTCAATTTTGTATTTTTGTTTTTAGCTTGTGCACTCATTCCCGCACTCATTCAATGAATCTTTTGACTTAATTTTGGTTCAGACTTTTGAGTTTATGAAAAAGCTTCAATTTTATTAAAAAAAAGTTAATTTATATTTATCATGGGTTGTGACCGTAACATTTTTTTTAAATTTTGTTCGAAATGAAATTTGATCAAGATTTTTTTGGGCTTAGGGGGAAGTCCCGTAACGCAGGACGGTACCAAGTACCGGACACTCTATTTAACACGTATTATTTAAGCAAGTATAAATCTTTTCATTTCAAAATACAAGAGAAAGCGGCACTGGGGGCACACAGGTACAGAATCACGCGCTAAGCCTCACTTGTGACGCACACGGGCGCGGCGGGAGCAACTGTTTGCTGTTTTAGGCGCAAAATCACGGCGTCACCTAAATATCGATGGAAGTAATTCTAGTATATTTATGCATTTGCATTTGAGTGGTATGCAAAGATAAAAGTTGAACTTGATTGTTATCCGTAAAATGGAAGAATATTATTAGATCTTTTAACCAATTTTAGTAGGTGCCACCAAATAAACGAAAATGTCTGTCCCTTAGCACACCAAGTCGTCCCTTAGTGCCGGACAGTACACTGATATTTGTGAGAATATACATAATTTATTCCAATCAATTAATTTTGTTCTGTATGAGTGGTAATGGTCACTACATACCCGCAATTTTTGTATTTCCTATTTGAAGAATGAAAAGCTTATGGTGAATGCACCAGCTGAGAGCATCTGTGTGGCGCAGCCAAAAGGGGTGATAAATAGTGACTTTTTTTTTGCAATATCAGAATATTCGTCAAAGACACATATGCAGACATATGTGATCAATGCAGGTTATTTTGAATTGTCCGGTACTAGGTGTCACTGTTTAAAATCATATTTTTTGATACCAAAGTTTGATTGATAGTATTAATTATTTTTTAGCAAAGATTGCGATTTTGTTAATTTAGTTTGATTTCTAACTTTGTTATCTAACGTAAATCGTAATTTAATAAGCATTTCGTAAAATATTTTTTGATTTATTTATAAATAACCTAAGGTGTCCGCCACTAGGGAACTTCCCCCTATAAAAAAGATTAATTTTAGCCGCTCTATCCGCTGCAACATTTTAAAAACAATTCTTAGATATTGGCAAGGAACTGGTTACCTCAGATAAAATTAACTGATTTGCAGGCCTACTGTACAAATATTTTCCGATGTGCACAAGAAGTACATAGTTTTTTAATGTCTTGCAGAAGAATCATTTCTATCAAAAAAAATATAAATTTGATATTAAAATTCGAATATAAACCTGTTTTTGAGAGAACTGGATTTTTTCCAGAGTTATTGAAATCTCACTCGTTTCGCAAAGCATGACATAACATAATTTAAGTATGGATGTTAGTATTTTAGCGTTGCAGTGGGTAAACTATCAATGTATCGATGTCGAATTGTATAAATTCATTAAAATGAAATGATAGGCTTCACTTTTAGGACATACAATTACGTTTTAAATTAATATGATTACATGTGTGTTTTAGATATATCAATTGGAATGTTTAGATTTAAGGGGGTTGTTTGGTTTTTATTTATTTTTTTTGATTTTGAGAATTTTTGATATTAAGAAAGCTGAAAACCTTTTAAAAATTATTTAAAAAAAAAATCATCTCAATATCTATTTTTTTGACGAAGTTATAGATATATATATATCTCTATATGTATGATCCTCTGAAACCGTTTTTTTTTCATCGCTCCGCGAGCTATTGTATGCCAGCTGCTCTCTTTTTCATTATAATACCTCATGCACATGACTTTTTTAATGTGCCAACATCTTTGAACACCATGGTGTATTAGTACATTAAATTAAATGGTGTATTAAACATTATATTAAAAACTTTAAATACGTTTTACTCAAATTGACTTTTTTCAATGCGGTGCCACAAATTAAAAAAAAAACTATAAGTCGGATCGACTTCGATTTTCTTTTAATTTGTTCAGCACTGCAGTAACTAGTTCCCCTACCTCAAACTACTTTATAACATTACGCAAAAAATTTTTGCGAAGCTTCTCGTCCCAAAAAGGCCCTTCTTAACACTTTTTTTTAAATAGCTGCCATTTTTTTTCTTCTTGCTTTTTTTTCTTTCATTTTGGTAGGGAGACTGGATTCAAACTTCTTCTTCAACGTAGTTTCGTTTTTTTTGTTTCAGGCGATGCGCAACGGATTTATCTGTGGCACCGCAAAAGAGATCGATTTTCCAATGCCCACTTTGGCGCCACCTGGTTAACAAATGACGGCGACAAAAAAAATATATAAAATTTCTTAATATTCTATGATTTTGTAATTTTTGTTTAAAAAAACCGCATGTCTCTATGATGAATACATTTCTAGAAAAACAAAAACAAATACCTTGCATTTTTTGTAACATAAAAAGAATAACCCCCTTAAGTGAAGGCGAAAACTTCATTTTTTCTATATCTAAAAATTTAAACCTCAATTTCGGTTGATTTAGTCAATTATTACATAGTTCAGTAAGCTCATGCAACTTGCCTTAAGGCAAAATGACACTTTCAACTAGTTTTATGAATAATCCATAGTACTTAAGAAGAGTATATCAGTATTTACACGTAGACAAATATTCAAATTAATATATAATTTACTATTTTCTCAAAATTATTGCTAAATCTATCAAAAAATGTATGTATGTATAATACTTACAAACAACTAGTTGGTTTGGTATTTTGCCTTGAGGCAAGTTACATTAACTTCCCGATATGTGTAATTAATCGACCTAATCAATCAAAACTAAATTAATTTATGATTGATTAAAAGTATTCCGAGTGGACTTATTACACATAATTGAAAGCGAACGAACACTTTGACACGGAGTATTTTCTAAAAGTAAATTTTCAGAAATCAACAATTGTTATAATTGAACCAGTTTCCATAGGACTTTAATGGCTTGATATGTTCATTAAAACCAAGTACTCTAACGTTATACCAAGTACAATTGTCCAATTTTAATTTTAACAAACGTCAAAAAAACTACTAATTTTCTTAAACTTTGATGAATTTTTAAAATTAAACTACTTGTCGTAAGATCGTAATATTTCAATAAGTCGTATAAGACCATACTATATATATATCATCAAAAAAAGTTTCATAAAAATCGGCTCAAATTTTTTTTTCAACAGTTAATTACAAGAAAACTGCTCGGTAGATTTTCACCTAAAACTAATCAGTATCATTCCCAACTAATATCTTTCGAACAGTTTTTGATTTTTTAAAATCGATTCAGTAATCGGTAGTATTAGCTTAAATGTGGACGAAAAGTTTAACACTTTTTTTCAAATTACAAAGAAACGGCTATGCAGATCGTCGCACAAAACTGACAAACGATAGTCTTCATCGAGATACATCAAATGGCTTTTAAATTTCTGAAATCGATTCAGGCATTTTTGAGAAAACGTCGAAAAAAGATCTAATTTTGACAAATGCCAAAAAAACGATATCAATTTTTGCAAACTTTGATGAATTTTTAAAGCTAAACCAAATGTCGTAGAGCCGCAATATTTTAGTATAATCTAGAAGACTATGGTATCTACCGTCAAAAAAGTAATAATAAAAATCGTCGAAAAAAAATTTTTTAACACTTTATTACAAGAAAACGGCCCGGCCGATCTCTACCAATAACTCATCAGCACGATTTCCAATCAATATCTTTCGAACGGTTTTTGAATTTTCAAGATCGATTCAGAACTGCGGGCTAAAACGTGGACGAAAAATTTTTCACTTTTCTGCTATTTACAAAGAAATGGCTTGGCTGATCGTCGCGCAAAATTGATAAGCGCTAGTCCTCATCAAGATACATTGAATGGCTTTTAAATTTTTGAAATCGGTCTAGCCATTTTTGAGAAAACGTCGATTTACGGCAAAAAAATTGTTCACAAACACATACTTTTTCCAAATTTGGTCTCATTCGATTCAGAATGGCTTGAAACGTCGAGAAAACATCAAATTAGCGCATGGGATTTTTTGATGAAAACATAAACTTCTCCCTCGAAAAGTTAATAAATGTAAATGTAAATATAAATAGTATAAATATAAATATAACTAATATTAATTTCTATATCTCTTATATTATAATATTCCATAACGAGAATCACATCGATGAAATGATCTTTGAAATTCCAGACAGTTATGGATTTGCCCTCCCAGGAGGCCGTTCAGTGGGCAGACGGTTTAATGTTGGTGTATTCGATAACCGACCGAGAAAGTTTCAATTACGTGCAGCGAGCCCGAGCCGAACTGTTCGCGGACGGCGACACGCCCGCGCTGGTCCTCTTAGGGAACAAAGGCGACATGGTCCATCTCAGGCAAGTCGGGACTGAGGAAGGAGAAATACTGGCCAGGGACTTAGATTGCACGTTTAACGAGATCACGGCGGCGGAACAGGTTAGCTAGCTATCTTGTAGATAATAATAAATAATGGGTGTGCTGCTCGAACCCTGACAAGTTAAACTTCAACTCGTATCAGGGAAATGTAGTGTGAGAGAATTGCCCATTACCATTTCGCAACGCGGAGACACAATGCGCTATTTGCAATTGCAAATAGGTTCTTGATCTATATTTTCAGATGAAAATTGGATCATATCAGTCGACTTTTTTAAACGCTAACGATTGCCGATCTTCATAACACACAATATTAATTGATTACCGATTACCGGCAATTACAATTGATTAATTCTCCGTCGGTCGGCGTGGTCTGGCCAGACTTATTTCGACTTCAATTAGAAAAAAATACTTCTAGTAATCCTATCGACTTGAAATTTATTGACTTTTATTAATATTTCATTAGCTGTCGATCAATGAAAAAATCAGAACGAAAAAATGTACAGAAGGATAATTATAAGGATATTAACTTTTTTATACTTCGAACGGTCGGAGTGGTCTGCCTAGACCACCCATACATTTTGTATGAAATATACGCTTTTTGATATATGTAAACCAGTATTTTTTTTTCTGGTATTTTCTATTCAAACTGCATTCTATATTTACTAACATGAATGTTAGTATTTTCATGATGAGAGTTCCTTGAAAACCTACCAAACTTATTGGTCATCGCAAACATTGAAAATCGAATGAATAATGCGCACATTTTCAACAATTTTTCTACCCGTACTGCTGTCGAAACTTTTTCTGGCAAACCTGTTGTGAAATTATATTTTCAACTTGAATTTTACAGCTCATTTCAAAGGCGACGCACTTCATTTCGTTTTCATTTGAATTCATTTCGAAGGAGCCGAAAAAAAATAAATATTGTTTTTCATTGATATAAAATAGAAAAATAAAAATAATAAAAAAAACAACGATATTTTTATATTCTTTGATTTTTTTATATAATATAATATAAAATAATATATAATTTTTTTATTATAAGCAAACTCAACACATGCAAAAGACGGTAGGAAAAAGAAAAAATCAAAATTATAAATATTTACTACTAATAATCGTTAACATATAAGACACCAAAAACTCATTTATCTCATATAAATGCATGTAAAATGAATGGTAGTTCAGCCAGACCACTCCGACCGTTCGAAGGTGAATAAATATCCGAGCGACAGAGGGTTAATTATGATTGATTTACATATAGAGATAATTGAACTAGTTATTATGGCATTCTTTCTATAAACATTAAAAAATAATTTATAAAATAAAAAAACAGATCTAGATACATATTGTAAAAGTATTGAAGTCAGTACCACGCTCAATTTTGTTTGCCTATAGATTTAAAAATTATGTATTTAAATAGATGAAAGTCTTGGTAATGTCTCAAGAAATAATTAAAATCTATAATATTAACACTTATTATTAGGCGTTAATTATCACGTGATCGATTTTTAAGAATTCTTGGACCCTCCTTCCCCCTTGATGATACGTGGTGATCATAGACCTTATACATATATGTATTATAGGGTCTATGGTGGTCATATTTAAAATCACCCCGCACCCCTCATCAAGTATCAAGTATCACGTGTATTTTTAGTACCTAGAAATAATAGTATTTTTTTGTTTAATTGATATTTTTTTATTAGAGGTACAAAATAAATACACGTGATATCTTAGCCTTCAAGCATCATGTGGTTAATAGATGCCCTCTTAGATATTAAATATATTCTATTTCTTTTTTAGTGTACTTAAATAAAAACGTGATGTTAGTTTTCTCCGTCATTTGCAAATCCTGCTATCTAGCACCTATTTTTGTATGATTTGCCAAGTCAATATCACACTTAATTTAATTTTTATATTGTTTCTACAGTTTTGTAATTTCCTATTGAAAAAAACACTTGAATTTGTTAAACCATTAAATATAAAAAAGTTCAATTCAAATTATTTGGTTTGGCTAATACAAAACTTAAAAAACGTAATTTCTACTAATTCAAAAATCACGAAATGTTTCGATATTGCATCCAATGATTCGAGTCTACAGTTCTTAAACTGTCAAAATCTGTAAAGGTGTTACAATTTCATATACTTTTAGTAAAATTAATATAAATTGCTTTGCGTCTACGGCAAATTATACATTTATAAAATGAAAGTTTAATAAGCAAAACCTGTTATTTTGTGATTAAACTTCATGACTGAATGAAGCTTTTATATTGTACATAGGTCTGACAAAATGGGTGAAAACAAGTTAAATTGAATTTAAGAGGCAAAACGTCACATTAGAATATATTTGCTTACATATTTATATTTTTTCTGTGTTAATATTTTTATTGAAAGTACCTACTATTAATGTATATAAATTGTGACAATATTTTTGTCTATTAGTAAAACGTAAAACAAAATGCGCTATGCAAAAATCTACAGTGAATTTGCTGCGTTTTTGTAACTTTCCAGCCTTGAACATTTCATCTTGAACTTGTATATCATAGAACAGAAAAAAAATCTCATACTAACTTATGCATGCTATATTCATTTATACATTATTCTAATATAAACTGTTTAGCTACGGATGTCGTCCTTGGAAGACATCTACATAACGTGCTGTGTGTACGGATGTCGTCCCTGGACGACATGCGGTGTTTGTTTTTGCTTTAAGATTTATCACTACTATTAAGAATTCTAGTCGTTTATTATAATTTTTAGTCCATTAAGAACGTAATTTTTAGTTCTTCAGCTCATTTTAATTGATAATCATAAACAGATCTTGAAATATTTTAGTCTTCTATAATTTATAAATCATATTCTTTGAACAGGTGACCCAGGTTGCTGACGCCTTTTACGAATTATGTCGAGAAATAATGGCAGCTCGCCGCAAATCTAAGCAGAGTTTGCTCGACCGAATGCTCGGCGGCAAAAACACAGGCGGACGAGCTTACCTGCGCGGCAAAAGCGACAGTGCACTACCAAAGAACGGAATCGAATAAATTATATCGAAATGAGATAAAATGAAGGAGAAATTATTTAATACTAAGCAAATACATAGATACTGAAATATTTATAGTAGTTTATAAACGGAGGATGTAAACATCAACGAAAGAATAAGCCTAATGCAAAAAAGTTTTCCGTTTATTTAAAATGATATTTAAGAAAAAGAGTCCGGCTTTCATACTTAACGCTAAGCCCAAAAATCTTTTATACACATTTTAATAAACGAAGAATAATATTTAAGATCACAACTGCTATGGCATATTAAGATTTTGTAAAAACTTTTATATAGAACGAATATTAGTAGAATTGATATAATAAATAAATTATGAATATAAAAAATTAAATCTATAAAGTGAGAAATTTATCTAAATTTTGTCATTGTAAATCATATACATATAGTATAATTTCTATAAAAGTAATTCATGTACCTTAATATTTATACAAGTTTATATCTATTTGACGTTTTCTAAAACAATACAATAATGAAATTGATAAATATATATATATATATATATATATATATATATATATATAACAATTATATATAGCATAACAATTTGTGAAGAGTACTTAAACAAACTAAATTGTTATTGATTTTTTTTTATTTTACCAACAAAGCCTTAAAATTAGAATTTTTAGGCGTAATAACCTAGTCAGTAAACTCGCGATTGAAATATTTTTTAAAATCTTAACACATATATTTTCATGTTAAATGTGTTTATAGTATCATAAATATAATATACTTTATACCAATGCGTTTAGAAGACTAGTTATTTAAATATTTTTTATGTTTCTAGATTTTTGAATTGTTTAAAATTATATTGATTATATTTATATTTATTATATAAAAACAAATAAATTATGCCAAAAAACAAATATATACTTTATTTTTACCATAAATAAAATCCACACACACACACACACACACACACATATATATATATATATATATATATATATATATATTACTTTCAAATGATGATAGGTATATAGGTATAACAAAAAGATAATAAAAAAATATAGTAAGCATAAAATTATAGTAATTTAGTTTTTTTTTATCATCCGGACTGATTATTACTCTCCTCACAAAAACTATTCTGGTATTCCTCAAGGTAGTGTTATGAGTCAAATATTATTTCTCTTATTCACGACTGATATGCCACTAGATTCAGCCTTAACAATAAGCATATATGTAGAAGACATTGCGACTACTTCAAGGATGCTCTAACAGCTACTTCTCAACTTCAAAACTAACTGACAGAAGTAGAATTATGGCTATAACATTAAAATCAATGTAGACAAATCACAACATCTTAACATCTCATAAAGAAACCGCACAAGCCCTTCATGGTTTATACCCAACTATATGACACGCTAAGAGTTAAATTTATTTATTTATTTTTATAACCTGTGTTATGTATGCTAACGGAGGTTATAAAAACATAAGCTTAATTTTGCAAAATAAATTGAATGCACATGTACATCCTGAAATACAATCATGTCATTCAGCCGACTGAAGAGAAAATGGTTCAGTGATCTGTCACAGTCCACAACAAATTTTCACACAAGTTACTTATAATAGAATACTTATTATTGTTATTATCAATTAACTAATTTTAGGTATTTGTGATGAATTTGGTAAAAGTCGCGTCAGTATCTGCTTCGCTTCTTACTCATGGAAAATGTCTCTCGACATTTTTAAGTAAAATTAGGTATCTACGAAGTACTTATGCGGAAGAAAAGGATTTGAGTATGTTAGCTATTATGGGACCATTTTCCAGTTATTTTTTAACTCTAAATTGTTAATTAATAAAATTAACAAATATTTTACCATTTTACTATCCTGATTCAATGCGCCAACTTTTGATGAAACTTGCCAACACACTTTACTACATTGTTTTAAAAAGAGAGCCTCTCAAACTCGACCAATTAAAAAAAATTATATTCATGGTTGAACATATAGTCCAAATTCTTGAAAACTCGGGGCATTGTGGAATTTTTCACTGTGGCCCTAGAAATGTCATCCAATGTTTAAATGAACAAAATTAATAAAAGTTACCCACAATAACCAAAAAAGCTCATAATATCCAGGTCTCACTTAAAAACTCGTAATTTCCAAACAACATGAGATATTTTTGTTCTATTTCTTTTTCAGAACAGTTTGGGTCCATTATATTTATTATCCATTATCCATTATGCCCTGTTTCGATTTGACGTTGTGGTCTGGGACAATCTGTATATATATATATATATATATATATATATATATATATTCAGTTAATTTAAATTTAGTTAAAAAAAGTTTTTTAAATAAATATGCAAACGGGCGCAAGGATCGATCTATTTGAATGATTCAGAAAACATTCGATTCCTATTGATAGGGAGATGTGGCAATTAAGTTTTGGCAAAGGCAAGTTCAGCTATTTTAAAAATACAGGGTAAAAGGTGCTAAAAATTTTAATTCAGTTTTTGTGAGAACGGAGCATCCGACTTGAATGATTCAAACTTGTATTGACTAATTGAAGAATTTATAAAATTGGTAAAACAGGTCTAGCAATTTTGAAGGTACAGAAAAAAAGCTCAAAAAAAGTTATTTGGCGGTCAAAAATGATCATTAGATATATGCACATCAAATTATCAAATATATCAGAGTTTTTGAAAATGAGTACAAATTTTGTTACAATTTTTTGGGTTCCACACCAAGATTTTGAATTTTTAAAGTTCACTTATACGGTTCAAACAAATTTCAAAACTTTCAGAAAAAAATTACCTCAAAATTATCAAAAATATACAAAGTTTTAAATTTAAATTTTAAATTAACAATTTATTTTAAAAATGTATATATTTCACATGGGTTATTCTAATCGTTAGCAATATATCCTCAGATAGATGCCTCATTCGGCATGTTATTGTAATTATTTTCAAGTGTTCTATGCGATAAGATAGTCGTTATAAAATATGAGCGATAAAATATATAGCATTTATTATTAATCTTATTAGCATATATAATTATCTATTTGAAAATATTTAAAACTCATTCTGCATGTTATTGTAATCTAAATATATATAAGAAAATATCAAGAAGAGAGCCAAATATTATTAGTGGATTAGAAGATTGGAAAAACTAATGGAGAATAATAAATTTTGAGATAATAAGCAAAATATTATGGTAGACAGTTCGAATTTTATGAAGATAATTAATGTTTATAAAATATATAAAAACCATGGTTATCTTAAAAAAATATCGTTTGATAAAGGTAAACAATTTTTTGTCAATACTAATAATGAAGAGACAAATATTATAAATAGAAGAGGGTATGACAAAATCTACATAGATGGCTCTAAAGTAAATAATAAAGTAGGGTGTGCTATGATTCATGAGAAGAAAGAAGTTCTTCAAACATTGATAAAACCACCAAATTTTGTCTCGGTATATACTGCGGAATTAGTAGCTATAGGAGAAGCGATGAAATATATTAAAGACTTGAAAATAAGAAGGGCAATTGTATGTGTGTGTAGAAAAATTAATAATTATAAACAAAAAAAAACTTTTTGAGGATGCAATTTACACAGAAAATCGAATGGAGTTAGAAAATATAAAATTGTTAGGAAATGAGACAAAAATTAAAGGGATCAGGCGATATTTTGAAATAGAAGGAAATGAAAAGGTGGACAAATTAGCAATAATAGCGACAAAACAAGGAGAAAAAATGGATATTGTGCACAAAATAATTTATGAATTGATTATAAAATCTAAAATAGATATAAGTTTAATTTAGTGATAAAATGTTATATATTTATTTCTAATGCACATGTATATTCATTATGTTTCTATATGACCAAATGTGATATAACGAAGTCAAATAAATATAAAAAAGTGTTATTGTAATCATTCTCAAGTGTTCTATGCAATAATATCGTCGTTAGAAAATATGAGCGATAAAATATATAGTATTTATAATTATCTATTTGAAAATATTTAAAACAATTGTTATTAATCATTGATCAATATTTATTGCCACTGATTTTTTTCCCTTGAGTATTTAATTCTGGTACGGAAAATTCCAGCACAATGTCTTGCACCACTAGTTTTTAACTTCCCGTAGGGTAGTTATAGTAATGAGCCGAAAATCGAAAATGAAAATTTTTGCATTTCTCGACGTTTTCGAACATTTTGGCGTACCTCACAATCAGAAAAAATGGATGTGTATTTTGTATGTCCGCATTTTTCGCCCACGTTTTCGGGTGCACGGATTAACCGATTTGAATAGTTCATAAAACATTCGCTTCCTATTGATAAGGAGATGTGCTGATTAGTTTTTGGCAAAGACAGGTAAAGCAGTTACGGAAATAAAGAGCAAAGAGTGCAGAAAATAGAAATCGAGTTTTTGAGAGAACGGAGCATTCGATTTGAATTATCTAAAAAACATTGAGTTTATATTGATTGGAAGAAGTGGATATTAATTTTGGGAAAAGCAGGCTCAGCCATTTCAAAAATACAGAGCTAAATGTGTAAAAAATGGCAGTTTTTGAGAGAACTAAGTGTCCGATTTAAATGATTCAAAGAACTTTCTGCTTTTTTTTCTTTTTTTTTTCAAAAAAAAATTTTTTTTGTATATCGAAAATAATTTAAATTTTATTTTTAATTCTGACTGAAGATCTAATATACTATAAACAAATGATTTCAACTTTGCAATTCAGTTTATATAATTCTTAAAAATATTAGACAATGTTATAGTATTTATAATAATCTATTTGAAAACATTCAATGTTCCTCGAACATTTTGTTACAGTACGGGAAGTTCCAGCAATTTGCCTTAAGGCACGATGCCATACACCCCACTAGATATATTATGATTTATAAATATCATAGTATATTATGTATCATGTGTGTGTATTCCACTTTCGTAGTAAGTTTCAATTACGTGCACGATCATATGTTAACTGATCGTGAATCATTAAAATCTATTAAGTTATTTTTCATACAAGTGCCTCATTCTCGATGTAATCATGGTATTCATAGACGGTTTATTCCGCATGTAAAAAGTCACCGTAATTACCGCCACTTAATATCTTTATTTATACTCCAACTTTATGCAACATATATAGAACAATTGTTGAAGTTGGGTAGTTGCTCACTCATAATGCAGTATCTAGCAATTATATTCATGAAGAAGAAGTTGCTATTCATGAAGTTCGTAACAAGTAT